ACTTTAAGGTCACTCCAAAAAGATATTGAAATAAATAGTTGGGTTAACGTCTAGTGAAAAATTGATCTTTTATCCAAAATACAGAAACCTAATTCGTTATCTCAGTCGTTGTCAGGGTAACTTTAAAACTACATAAAATAAGAGTAACTCTAGAGGTCCACATAAAAACAACTAAATAACCAATTAGACTTCTTTCTTTTAAGAAATTTAGTCTCTTCAGCCGATAACACCTAAATAAAATTCATTGTTTCAGCCATTGCCTATGTTGGGTTTTAAAGTCACTCTAAAGTATTACTTAAGTTGGATGAATATGATATGTCTTTACTCTCATATCCGGATTAGTTTCTTGATCACACCCACAAAACAAAACTTTTACGTATAATCAGTATTACTTTTTGGAATAGATCTAAAACCCATTCTATCTACGACTAAAATAGTCAATTAGGTTTCTTTCTGAGTTCAAAATATGTTGCTAATAACCTTCTACTACTTAAGGACCAACCACGATTCATAATTAGAAATGAGTGTTTTGTGTGGAAGTAATGTCTTCGATGCCCTCCATTGTTCTGAATTTACCTTACCTCTTATGTCCTATAACACGAAAAAAGTGGCTTTCCCTTACTTTCATCTCACTGTTTCGATGAATTAAAAGTGAAACCCTCAATAATTTCAAGGGATTTAGGTGTATGATAAAAACATGACTAGTACTTTCCCGTTAATCTCAGAGTTAGACTATTTAAAATTTGAAAAATCATAACCACTAAGACACCTATAAGAAACACACTAAGAAACAGATAAAATCAATCCTCCATGTGAAAGTTTATTGCTCCTCGAAGCATTTTTGACATAAAGCTAATTAACGTTGTAGCAAGTAGATGTAACACCTGACACTGAATCCTCTTTTTTCTTATTTAGAGTGTTTGTAACTTCTAATATCTAATTAGTTTCGTTTTGTTCACTTTTAGAATACTTGATTATGTATTTCATTTTTATATGGCATTGTAGGATGTTGGGCTATACATTTCGCTACGGAAAAACAAACACTGAAGACTGTTACCAGTTATTCAGATGACTCAAATCATCTAGCGAATACTACGTAAACGAGAAATGAGACAAGGATAGATTTTCCGGAAAGCAATCTCCTAATAAAATATACTATACTAATTATCCATTTTCAACACAACTTTCTATGCCTACATCGTTTAATTTATTCAGTTTCGTACTTTAAGATATGTGGTATAATTTGAACTTTGTTAAACTAACCTATTCTACAACAGGAATGTTTTATCACATAGGAAACTTCCGTTCGGGATAAGAAATGAAGCGAATCAAAATTAAAGTGGTGTAGCACTCAGCTGAACTTTAAAGATAGGAACTATCACATTCGATTGTCCAAACGAGTTGCAAATCATAAATAAGATAGTAATGAAATGTTCTGAGTGCTTTTATCAGATTCGTAGGTAGAATATAGTAAAATTTGTTCTGGTTCAGATTTCTTGAAGTGAGAGATGAGAAACTGACTGAGAGCTTATGAATTACGAGGAGAGATTTCCATTTTTTCATTAGGAATTGTTGCTAGGTGAAAGCTTATGTGTCAGAGCTTAAGGTTTGAAGTGATACTCCAAAAATTGGCTTTTTTTTAACTAGCACTTCATTTATGTAAAGTTCTTTGAGAATTTAAAAGATGTTGGTCTCGCATTTGTTTACATTTTTCGTCCTTATGTAGACAGATATTTCCATACTTTACAGTTGGGCGCATGCAAACTGATGTGCATATGAACTGCTGTTAGGTATGAAATGTAGGCCACAAATTATCAGAATTCATTTTATCTTCGAAAACTGTAACAACTGGATCGCAAATAAGTAGCTTAGAACAGCAACACTTCCATCAAAATCATTCGGTTGCGAACGCCTACTTTTAAGTTTTCAACCAAATGAGTTAATGAATATTGGTATATTTCAAAATTGTTAGTCAAATATGGGACCGATATACATCTCATTTGCTACAAAGAGATGAAAATGAATGAATCCATTCTGAAAAGAAAGTGGAAACTAATATTGAAATTTAAGGGTTGCTTGACACACTGCTATGCTTGTAGAGAAAGAGTTAGCTTTATTCTGAGGTTTTCATTGAAAGTAATCTGTTTTCCTAGACACACCCTAGCACCTCAACCATCCAACCATCCACAATTTGCATTTAGAAAAACTCTACAACCATTCGTTAATTTTATCATTATTTTCTTCGAAAAAATGAAGATGGCGGTATTTTTTGATGAAGCTAAACTTTTGAAACTTCAATAGGGGAGACATTTATTCTAGCCTAGTTTTATCGCCCTGTTTACCCGTTATTAACTTAACTTTGCTTACACTTATGAGCAATGTATGTCGAGTGGTTTCCGTCAAGGATATCAACTCTCCCTATTCTCATTCAATTTTATCATAGACGTTCTTATGGTGGTCTCCCTCTCGTCATCTGATTACACATGAATAAACCTAATCACAGGAGAATTTTCGGTAAACCCAAAGTATGCAGATGACATAGTTCAGTTAGGCGGAGATGTTGACAAGATGCAGAATCTTCTGGACACCTTGAGTAGCAATTTGAGAATGTTTAGGATTTGTTTCTTACCGCCAAAATGGAAATTGTTTTTCCAGGACTGGTCTTCCATGGTGCTCCGGCTAGCATTAGAGAGTGAAGTGGTTGAATGCGTTGAAAACTCCCCTTAGTTAGGATGCAGGACCAGTCCTTATGCCTCAGTGGCCGAGCATTTAAAATGCTCGACTGAAGTTTGCCAACTTACACCATCTGTGGCGAACCACCACATTGAATTGTCTAATAAGGGTCAAGTGTGAGAGAGAAGGCCTCAAGTGGTTGACCACCGTTGCCTTCATAGCATAGGCCGTGTTTCGTAGTGTCACCACGTGAGTAACACAGAAGTCAGGCGTAGAGTTTTAGGAAAGAGAAGTAAGCAAGTTGATAATAATAATAATTCATTTTATTCCAAACAATTTGTGGTACAATTTGGAATTCTCAACGCAATATATATTGCCATAACAACAAAATATAAGTATATACATACTACTTTGCAGCCTTTTGAATTGTTTCATTACAAAAATTTAAGTTATGTGAAGAATATTAAAAATGAGAAAATTTTGTATTGTAAGTTAAATTATTGAAATGAGATTTTTAACTGTTACAAAGTTGATGTGTGATTTCTGTTCTAACACTTTTTTCCTCACAAAATATGCGTGCAAGGTAAGGTACAGTCGAATTCTCATACTTAACTGTACGAGCATACAGTCTTATATAGTTTCTCCTTGTCCTCCCTGAGAAGATACATGGAGAGAGCTGTGAGTGAAGTGGATGCTCACAGCCAGTTAAAATTTCTGCAGCTAGTAGCTTGCAGGAATTTATATGTCGATCAACTACAGTGTTAATCACTTGAGCCAGAGACACACCACTCACCCTGCTGACGGTCTTCAAAGCCCTGTACAACATAACATAGTCCTTTTTAAGAAGACCAGGAAAGATTAATGGGGAACAATATAGAAGAGTAGGTAAAATGCAGGAATTAATAAATTGTACAAGGAGCAGTTGAGTTATACCAGAAAGCCTCAATTTCTTTATGTAATAAGTTACACGAAAGATTTTTTCACAAGTCAACAAAATATGGGACGACCAACAAAGGTCAGAAATAAAACGCAACCCAAGATAGTTCACACTCGATTTACTTTCTACAGAAATGCCATTGATGCAGCAGGCATCATGAGATTTGAGCAGCTCACACAAGTCCGTCTTGTTTACGCCTGAGGCTAAAATTAACGGTCTGACACTTAGAGGGGTTTAGTTTGAGACCATTTGAGAGAGACCATTTACCAACTTCAGACAAGAATTCATTTGATTTCGAGTAATCCAAAGAAGAGTTTACTGGAACAGAAATCATCAGGTCGTCAACATACTTGATAAAATTAGTTTCAACAGAATGAGGTCAGAGAACACATTCCCAAGCAAGAAAGTCAGTTCTAAAATGTATACGTTAACCTGAGGAATAATAAGCATAAAAATAAACGATATTTGTCTCACAGATCTAGCGACTTCAATCCTTAAAAACGCGTGATGTCAGTTCCATGTGCTAAAAGCCATCAAAAAGGCAAATAAGAAAATGCTTCAAAAAAATACTACATTATCTTTATTCTGTCACCAAGAATTGAAATCAGTTTTGATTCATTGATGTTATAACCGAGGAATATATGTCTCTGATTCGGCTCAATTGGTCGGTGACTATTGGCATATGGGCTCCTATGAGGATGCCTCAATATAGCCAGTATTTTCAAATTTGATGATGATGGATAGTGGCTATCAATAGAATTCAAGACGTACATTCCGTCTTAGTGGGGACAACATCATTCACTAAGTGGTAGGTTAACCCAGCTGACAAGCCTCAAGTAGAACAAAACGCACAACCTGGACTCCACTGCTAGCCACTATCCATCATAACTACCGTTTCAAATTTAGTTAAGAACAGGCAAAATACGTAATTTATGGTATTTTCTGCCAATTATTTGACTTTTGCCTTGGTTTTAAAACTAACTATTATTAATACTACTATTACCTCCTTTTCCATCAATTACTTATTATTTTCACCGAAAAATTTCCTCGTGTGAGTCTAGTTTCCTACTCAACAATGTTACTGTGCATACTTAAGGGAAATGTGTGTAGTTGAAATGGAATGATTTTTACTCGAATGCGATATTTCGAGTTCCTGCAGTTTTCTTCCTAACATGGGTTAATTTTTAAAAACAGCTTGTGAGGAGCCTTTTTGTTTAAACGGCGGTTTTTGACTTATTCTGGTAACAAGCAGTTGGAGAGAAAAAAATACTCAATTAATTCAGTGCGTCTCTAAGTGTTATTTTCGAAGTATTACTAAGCAAAATAAATTCATGGAGAGAATATTCGTGAAAAAATAGCGTGGTAAAACTGCCTTTAAGAGAAAACTCACCACTAATATCATGTTGTGAAGAGCGTGAATCTTTTCTTCCTGTGTAGTTCTTACGATGCAATAATCCAATTTTACAAGCTATCAAATCCAGTTTATCTGTTAATTCAGGATCATTTTGACTATCTACTGTTCCTATATCCGTTTGTTTACACTCGACTAAGGATGTACATATACTGTAAGGTTCACTATTGTAATCCATTTCAGAAAGACTAACATTATATATCCAACGACCGGATGGGGTTTCACTCGGTAAAGGCATTGAAGGTGAGGTTGGCAGCCTAGTATTTCCTCTTCGTGATGCCGGTCTTCGGTCAGGCAATGAAATAAAACCAGTTTTGTTAAACTCCTGATCATTAAGACTGTCGTCGGTTACCAAATCTTTTTGAAGTGTCATTGTTTTTGTCTACATAAGGAGTAAAAAGAGAAAAATGTATTTAACAGATAAGCCAAAAATCCATTCGTTACATAAAGCTATATATTTGCCTATAATTCATCGAACAAAAAATTAGAAGTCATACAAATCTGTCAAATAAAACTAAATTTCTCAATGAGCCTATCTCATAAAATATTTCGTTTTCAGACATATCACACTAATTAAATTACAAGATACCATTTACTGAACAGTGACTTGTGTAGAGATTTTCAGCTTAGTTAAGGAACTTAAGCTTTCCGAAACCATTTAAAGTATTTTAATTACAACATATCCTGACTAGACAGCTTACTCTTTTCACTAGAGTATGTTTGTTGCTTTAACAGTCAACAACTTCAATAGTCCTTCTAGAAATAGGAATGGATTTGTTGCTCGAAATGCCCTTTCCGTCAACATTTTAACAGAAATATGTAATTCTCTGGACGAAACTAATAAGGAAACAGAAAAGAGAACTCAGTGTAAGCTGCTCCTTGAATAACTAAATATCAAACTTTGAATACTGATAGAGGGAAATAAAGATGAAATAAATAATTATTTATATCTTCCAAGCCATCTTACAGCACTTTAATATCTTTCAGACACTAAACAGAGAGCAAAAAATTGAAAAAATGGTGTGTTAAATAAAATCTTACTATTTTGTCATATGCTTGAAAAACTAACAACTTAATACAACAGTGGACATGACTCAGTACTTAAGAGAGACTGACACTCTCAGTTTTCGATTATATTATATAAATTGATTATCGGATGGTAATCAGTAACATCCTGCAGTCTTAGTTTCATAGATGGGATAATAGAATGCTACATCTAAAAATAAACACCATATCCCAATATTATTTGTCACCTGTTCATCATGCAGCTTATTTGTCTCATTTCCACCCAATTTATAAAACTTTTCCACAACAGGGAATCTAAGTATGACAAAAACAATACTTTCAACCAACTAGTTATGAAGAAGTCTGAATTGTATTTTTTTAACATACACAGTCAGATTAAATTTTAAATACCTTTGGTGATTTCCTAGATAAATAATTCTGTTTTGATGAGATACTACGAATTAATAACATCAGTTATTTCAAGTTGGTACTTATCATGGACTGACATCAGTCGGAGAAACAATGAAAACCTGGGAGTATTGGACAACTTTTTCACCCTGGCATGAGACTCTTCAGCAAACCTTACCCATGATCTCGTCAGGAACTGAACTCAGGACCTTCAAGTTTCGTGCCTAATACTTTATCATTAAGCCAGTGAGTTGGAATCCAATGGTTTATATGTGGACCAGTGCTCCTAGGTTTTCAATGATTTTTTAACTGATGTTTATTCATGATGAATATCAACCTAAGATCAATAAATCCTCACAAACTCGAAATTTTACAATATTATTCAAATCGACAGTATGCATGCAACATTATTGTCAAAAATTGAACAGTTGTAGTTTTTGCTCAACCTTGTGTTTGCACAGGTGGAAACTAACAGATAATGAATCATTTTCGTCATGTCACGCAATATGTACGGTCGGCTTCTGCAAAAGTGAATGAGTAAAGGTTGATTCACAAACTAATTTTATGTCAATGTCTTATGTGTACTTAACAGTCCATGATTCATAGGTTTCTTCCTCTTTACTTAAAACAAAACTTGTGTATATATGTTTAAAGTCTATGCAATTCAAAGCTTGAAGACTTTTTTAAGTTTGTAGCTGATTTTTCCAAGGACTAGTAAAACAAAGTGAAGGTAATTCCCGCTTATTGTGCCACGTTTGCTGCTTACAAGAATAATAATTGGTAATCTTGTAAAGACAATGGCTAAATTTTTTTCAAAAGCAACGCTGTTATACAAACTTGATTTCATCTGTAATATTATTCTGATATCTGGTTCTTGTAGTCTTAAAAACCTATTTTCTGAATGTGAAAATACTCATCGTTTCGCTACTGGGAGAAAAGTAATGACGTGATTACTCAAGGCACCACACTAAAATTAGATTGAATCCGATCGAAATGCACTCAGCAACCTTGCGCCTACTCGTCCAGTAGGCAATAACTCACACCTATTGTGTGATGGAAATAATACTACCTAGCTGCCCAAACCTCCGTAGGCGGAGGGAGGTTCGAACCCATGACCTACTGGTTGAAAGTAACCTCCCTAAACCAATGAACCACAGCTCCATTTCTAAAATTAGATATGTTTGCTACTTTTAAACTGAAATTTTAAGAAAATTTATACGTTGTTAACCTCATCCATTTTGAGACAAAGTGAATCTGTTAAAATAGATGAAGCATTTTTTTAACACAATTAACACAGTTGTGTAGCCAATGCAGTAAAGATAAGCCTTTCCAGAGTGTCATCAAAATAATACGACTTCCGTTATTGTCTGCCAAAAGAATCAGTTTGTACTCGTATGCTTAAGAGACTGAGACCAAACGAAAGAAAGGTATTTAAGCGTAATCGTGACATGATTATAGTTGCCGAGAAGAATACAGGGAGTTTGTGCATCGAAACAAGCAAAATAAATGAATAATAGTGAATAATTGTGAAAGTTCTGTCCTTAGAAATTTCTTGACTAAAAGGTAAACAGTCATTGGCTCAGATTACGGACACGTAATCGTCCTCTTCCCCCTTCGCACAATGTTAGCTGAAGATATGTTAAGAATAAAGAAAGATGAGAGGCAACCAAACCAAAACATGGCATCAGTACATGAAATCTTTGACTCTGGGTTTAAGCCAAATAGGGAAATGTGGACTTCTGGGTTAGTGTTCAAGCAGCAACAGAAATCAGTGGTGGAAGACTCTAGGTGATGTGGCTCAGAATTTATCTCAGTAGTCCACACCCATCATCATTGTCATACCGAATTTTACTTTTGTTTCACTTGTTTCTTGTTCTCTTTTCATGACTTTCTACCACTTTCATCGTCTCCTTCACTTCTTAGTCCTTCATTTGATTATATTTTTATGTGCTGAAACCCATTTGTTCATTTTCATAAGCTTAAGTTAACATTCATTAAAACAAGACACTTCATTGTAAACTGAATTGAAAAAAGAGGTGAACAGGCAAGTAAAGAAAGATTCGGAAAGTTTCATTATAATTTATAGCCACAGGAAGAATATATGGTGTTTAAAATACTGTCGATAATAACAAAGCACTAAAAAGGATAGACAGAACATAGTTCTTTAGAACTTGTAGTATTGAACCACGATGTAAACGGTTGCTGCATAAACTAAAAACATTCAGTCAAGTGTGATTACTGTCCAGAATATCGCGAAACTATATTAAGTTAAACGTGATAATTGCATTAATCAAAAAACTAGGTTAAAGCTACACAAAAGCTTATCAGCATAAACTAATTAAGTCGAAAAATCCACTTTATTAAAGCATTTGTTGAACTGCTTACTAGAGGATGAGTATGTGGTTATGAGTGTACACGTGATAAAGAAAATCCGTCTCGAAGAATAACAGGTTGTAAACAACCTACGTTTGAAGTTAAGTTCTTTATCATCTTAATGCTCATAGTCAACTGGAAACTGTAATACAAGCCGGGTGTAGCAGTTTTGCTCCTCAATCTGAGGAAAGAAAATTGTTAATGAAAATCACCTCGTACGACAATAATTCCATTGTATTGATTAGACAAAGCACACATCTAAAGGTGGGACGCTGTCATCCTTATGACGAATGGGAGTTTTAGAGAGGTCAGATATTAATCAAAAAGTGTTCAGTGTTTTTGGATAAGAAAATTTAGTTGAGTATGGGGAAAAAATTGTGGTTGTCTTTTTCTCGAACATTTAAAACCCTAAAATGAATACTTCTAACTTCATCAATCAACTTACAGGTATGTGACAAGGAAAAACTGCAAGAGAACGTTTACTAATCATTTGTGAAATCAAACTAGGAATTTTAAAGTTCATTCAAGACTGGTATGTAAAGCGAGGGCACTTTTAACCTGCTAATGTGAACCGTTTGACAGTGAAATATTATTTGATGTTATGTAGTAGAAAAGTAAATTTTCGTTATGAATAAAGACAGGTGAAATCTGTGTATTCAGAATTACATAATTGAGAATCTTTCACTACTTTATCCCACTAAAAACTAAATTTATTCCTTGACAAGTAGTTGGCAAACGTATGTTGTATAATACGCAGTGAAGCATCATATCATCTTTTCTTGGCTAATGGAATTCCTATTACGCACTGGCACTCCACAATCTGTCATACTTATCAGTATTATACTTATCGTACAACTTTACTCGCGGCCCATAGTATACGGTCTACCAAGAAACAAGTTTTATCACTTTGTTTAGAACTTTATTACTCTAAGAATATACTTAACGAGCATGTCAAAAAAGCTTAAGGATGGAAACGTCATTTGCGTTAAATGTCAATAATCTTTGAATTGATGTGTATCCACGCTTCATGAATAGCCTGAGAAGAGTATGCTGCTTTTACCAGGATGTTGCGACAAGTGATTGATGAACTTGTTGTTAGTCAGTTCGATATGACATCAGGTTGTATGAGCACTGTTGAAGTGTTCCAAATCAGGAGGACACAAGTTTTCAGTGCTCCCTGATTTTCTATGTCTAAAGTTAATTTCTGTCACTGATAAGAACTGGTTCGAAACCAGTTAATTTCCCACAAACTTATCACTTGGAAAACAAACATTCACCCACACTTATTGAAAGTGGCCGACTTTGATTATATTCAATTACACAAAGTACACTAATATCAATGAACAAAGTACCACTTCAGTTTTCATGCACACCTTTCTTTAACTGATCCATGTTAAACAAGTGATAAGCTTGTGGTTTTAACTTCAAGGTTGTCGACAGAATACTTTTGAAATATTTGCCGAGTTACAGAGAGAAAGGAAGACATAGTTCTTTTAGCACCATTTCTGATTACAAACTACAGATATTTTAGAGATTCATTGGCATACATTTATGCACTGGTGAATGAAGTTGGCATTCTGATGGATTTTTTTGTTA